TGGGTGACCGCGACGGTGAAGGGAGCCCTCAGCGTCTCCACCCTGCCCTTCAGGGCCGGTGGCCCCGGCCATGCCGCCCGTCAAGGCCAGCGGCAAGGAGTCCTTGGTGCTGCAGTGCGAGTGGGAGGTGTGCACCTACGTGGCCTCGAAGATGGAAGAGTTTTGCGAGCACGTGGCCCAGCACCTGCAGCAGCACCTTCCCGGGGAGCACCGGGACGAGATGGACCCTCTCGGTAAGGAGCTAGCAGTGTCAGCCGCTGTGGCTCATGAGCCATCGCTCTTCTCTGGGATACTTCATTGTGAGACAATTTTCCTCTGCCTCTGCCTGTTGCAGGACTGGAATCTCATGAAAAAAGCCGTGGTGTTTCACTGTCTGCGGAAGCCTGAGCTTGGAGAGTTTCCACCAGACCATTATAGCCTGTATATCTCCTGTTTGTGTTGCAGAGGAATACACGTGTTTGTGGCAGGGGTTGGTTTCTGTTCCCCAGAGAGCTCAGCTGACCTCATTCGCCACGTCTATTTCCACTGCTACCACACCAAGCTGAAGCAGTGGGGACTACGGGCCCTGCAGAACCAGTCAGATGTAAGCCATTGCCAGCTGGACTTCCAGAGCCGCAATATCATTCCTGAGATCCAGGAGAACTTTCTGTGTCTGTGGGAGTACTGTGAGGTGAGAACAGGGGACCCAGTTTTGCTTTCCTATGTTATTTGTGCCATGGCGGGCCAAGGGCTGCTTTTGTCCTGCAGCTCACTTGTATGCCTGCCTGTTCGCTGTGTTTGTGTGAAAGCGTCTGTTGTGCTCTGGCTGAGGCAGAGCACAAGGCCAGTTTGTGCTGATCTTTTCACCCTGTTTTGTCTGTCCCTGCTCCCCAACAGAGATCATTTGATAATCCCGAGTGGTTCTATCGGCACGTGGAGGATCACAGCTTCTGTTCGGAGTACAAAGCGGCAGGGAAGGAGAACCACGTGGTCCTCTGTGGCTGGAAAGGTTAGTGGGTGCATGCAAAGCCTCTCTAGAGAGCTTTGCACAGGGCTGGATTGCGAACGTTGTACAGGAGCACTCCTTGGCAGGGTTTCAGAGAGCCTCTTGAATTTCAAAAATATGTGTGCATGGTCCTAACAGTGAAATATTCCTGTAGAATTTCCTTCAGGGGATCCAGTTGAGTGCTTAATATTGAACTTTTCATTTATATTTAATTAGTAACTAGAAGAAAAGGCTCCACTTTCAATAATTTCTCTCTCCTTTGTTTGTGCAATTGCCTTAGCTGCTTGTGGGCAGGGGGGGCATGCCAGTTGTACACTAGTGATCTCATCCTGCTGTGACCCTGCTCTGTGGGCTTTTTGGAGCAGGGAGTTGATCCTTGCTAGTCAAAACAGAAGCAAGAAGCCTGCCATTCAGACAGGTTGTGGATCGTGGCCCACGTGTGAAGGATCTTAATGGCATTCCATTGTTTCTGTTTAGACTGCGATTGCACCTTCAAGGGGCGCTGCAAACTGCGGGAGCACTTGCGCAGCCACACGCAGGAGAAGGTGGTGGCCTGTCCTACCTGTGGGGGGATGTTCGCCAACAACACCAAGTTCTTTGACCATATCCGCCGTCAGACTGCGCTGGACCGTAAGCTCCTGCGGGCAGGGGAGGAGTGGGTTGTGAGCAGTCCTCTGGCTGGGCCATTTGGTTTGCTAGACCTGCCTGTTCTCTGCAAGTAAAGGGCACGGGTGTGCTTAGAAGCAACCTTGCTTCTCTGATGCCTGGGAACTAAGACACTGATGAATCTCTGAGAAGTGTCTTCTTGCAGAGGCAGGAGGATTGGAAGCTGACAAGGCTGCACAGGGCTCACACTGCTGCAGCCAGAGCTGTTCCTCCTGTAGGGACCCAGGACTGAAGTCAAAGGCAGCAGCTGGGCACTTGCAGCAGCACTGGGATTTGCTTGTTGAGTTCTCTTGTGCTGTGCTGGCGATGTGTGTGTGTGTGTGTGTGTGTGATGGTTGCTCCCCAGTTCCTGCACTGGCAGCACAAGGAGGTTGTGTGAAGGGGAGGCAGATTGGTCTTTGCAAGTGATTTTTTTTTTTGTTTGGCTTTGTAGTCAGTGTCTGCTATCTCTGCCTGGAGAGAAGGGTTCCCAGCTCCACTATAACTACTTCTTTTTCTTACTTGCTGCTCTTTGTGCTGTTCTCTCTGCTTTGATCTCTTTTCTCACCATCCCCTCCCCTTTCTCCCTGGCCCTGATGCTGCAGAGCAGAGGTTTCAGTGTTCTCACTGCTCCAAGAGGTTTGCCACAGAGAGGCTGCTCCGTGACCATATAAGGAACCATGGTGAGTAAAGGCCCCTTCTCCCAGCTGAGACTCTGAAGAGTGTGTGCTCTGCCCTGCTTTCTGGTGACGTTTTCCACCCATTCTTTCGCACAGTGAACCATTACAAGTGCCCTCTGTGTGACATGACCTGCCCACTGCCCTCCTCCCTGCGCAATCACATTCGTTTTCGGCACAGTGAGGAGCGGCCGTTCAAGTGTGACTACTGTGACTACAGGTGAGGACCAGGGCTTTCTGTCTTCCCAGGCTGGTGACGGAGAAGCACTCAGAGGCACGTGTGTGTGTGTGTGCTACACAGTGTTCAGCTTTGTTCCCTTATCATTTCCTTTTAGCTGCAAGAATCTTATTGACTTGAGGAAACATCTGGACACACACAGCAAAGAGCCAGCCTATCACTGCGAGTTTGAGGCTTGCAGCTTCACTGCACGTTCCCTCTGCTCCATCAAACTGCACTACCGGAAAATCCATGAGGTGGGAAGGAAGCAGAGGGCTATTCTGCTGTATACTCTCTCCCAATGAGGCTGAGAACTAAGTGCAACATGCTGTACAGAAGCATGAGGGGAAAAAGCTAAAATCATGTGAAGTGCCCCAGGCTGACCAGGGCTGTAGGAACGTGAGGTCAGGTTGCATTCCTCTCTCACTGCTGCAATGATATGTCATGTCAGTCTTCTCAGAGAACCTGAATCCTCCTTCCGTGCATATGCATGGGTACCAGGCCTTCTGTTCAGGCTCATGGGGTATTCACATCCCTCTCTCTGCCCTTCAGGGTGACTCAGAGCCCCGGTACAAGTGCCATGTCTGTGACAAGTGCTTCACACGTGGAAACAACCTCACTGTTCACCTCAGGAAGAAACACCAGTTCAAATGGCCCTCGGGGCATCCTCGCTTCAGGTACTGGCCATCCTTAGCTCCTCACTACCTCCTCTCTAGTACAAGAGACAGCTGGAGCTGCATCCTGCATCTTGCTGAAGCAGAGATCTGGCAGTGCTTGGGCTCTGACATCTGCCTGTAATGTGCTCAAGACCCATTTCCCAGTGGCTGGGAGGCACTGCGCAGCAAGCATTCGGTGGGATCTGGCACAACAACAGAGCAGTGCTGGGTGGCAGCTCCAGCAGTGGGTCAGAGATTAGGGGCAAGGGCAGCAGTGGTGCCATCACAGCTGCGTCTGGTGGGATGCTTCTGAGCTTGGCAGGGCCCAGGTCCAGGGTCCCACTCGAGAGAGCTGCTGCAGATCGATCTCTTGATAGATGTCTCTGCTGCATCCTCTCTAGGAAACTCCAGAGCCTAAAAGCTGGGAGGGGAAGAGGATGGACTTCAAATGCTCCCAGTGAAACAGAGTGGTGGAAGGAGATGGGTTTGGGACATGATAGAGGCTTGGCAGAAAACTCAGAAGCTGCCACGTGTGCTTTTAGGGGTAGGGACTGAAGGATTTTTATCTTACTTGCCCAGTATCATCTACGTAGCACTGGGCATTGGAGTCTAGAATATAGTACCCCTTCCTCGGCTGCTGCTTCAGGCTGCTACCTGTCTCTTGGGAAGGGGCTGCAGTGTGACTGGCTCCATCACCCCTGCCTATCTCTGCTCAGGTACAAGGAACATGAGGATGGCTACATGAGGCTGCAGCTGGTGCGTTACGAGAGCGTGGAACTGACAGAACAGCTACTGAAGGACAGAGAGAAGCGGGGGGAGGCACTGGATGGCTCAGCTGAGTGTGTGGTGCTGTCTGAGGGTGAGGGCAACCTGCAGGGCATCATTCTGGAGGCCCCAGCAGAGGCTCCACTAGTGGAGAACAGTATTGCTGAGCTGCAGGTGGCCCCGCTGCGCCTAGCAGCTTGCTCTGCTGACAACCATGAGCCAGCACGGCCGAGTGCCTTCCCAGGAGCAGCGCTGTCATCGGAGCAAGAACCCGGCACCCTGGCCAACCCCATCATCCGTGTGGTGAACCGGACCAATGAGCATGGGGAGAGTGAGACTGTGTATTATGTCATGGCCAGCACATCCTCAGAGGAGCAGCTGGCAGCACCTGGTGGGCTCACTATGGAGCTGGAGGAGAATGTCATGGACCGTCTGCAGAAGACGGCTGAGGAGCTGGGCATCCAGATCGTGTGAGGTGCTCACCTGCCTCTCTGCATGTGGAAAACTTGGGCCTCCATGGGATGTGCTGGTGGGGGAGGTTGGGAAGTGCTTGGGGGAGAGGGCTGAGCTTGTCTTCACCTATGTGCAGCTGGCTAACGTCCCCCTCTGCTGCCCCAGCCTCACTGGCTGCCGGTTCTGGTCAGCATGGGGAGAGGGGAAGGACGGGTCTCTCTCAGTTGTGGTCAAGGGGTCTGAGCTGCAAAGAGCCGTCTGTCTCCTCCTTTTGGGGATTAGGGACTAGCAAGCCTCTCCCACCCTTCCAGAAGGTTTGGCCTTAGCCTAACACAGGCCTTCCCCTTTTGGTTACTCACTGTTGATGTTGTCCCTGCTGCTATGCAGCTAAGTTGTCAGCCCTTGCTGAGCCTGGTCCTCAGCTAGGATCTCCCCAGGCAGGATGGTGTGCTAAGCAGACACTGCGGCTGAAGCCTCTTCTCTGGGGAGATGTGTGGCCCTTAGCAGGCCTGTTCTCCCCCATCCATACTTTGTTCTCCAGGGGATGGCATGCTCTACTTCTGCCTTCATCAGCAGTTCCCTGCACATCATCTTTCCTAGGTCATTCAGCTGGTGCTGTTGGTGGTGTTTGCACCACTGATCCCATTACACTGCACTGATCTTTGGGAGGAGAGGGCTGGAAGTGCTGTCCCTTGCAGGCTACCGCTACGCTGCAGCACTTGGGGATTGGGAGCTTCTTACTGCTTTTGTCCTTCCCTGGGTTTCCTCCCCACATTGGGGTTTGGGCTCCTGGTTGGGCAAAGTGTACTTTGGCAAGACAAATAAAAGTCAGACTGCCAGGCCAACCAGTGTCTGGTGTCTGTTTCAGCCCCATCTCTGCCAGCCGTGGCATGTGAGAGGGTGAGACTGAGTTGCCTAGAGCCTGCAGTGTGGGAGGTGGGTTCTGAAGAGCTGCCAGGATCTCTTGACATGTCCTACATGCTGCTGCTTGCTGCAACTGGCGACTGCCTTGGAGAGTGTGGTGTTCCCTGTCCCCGGAGGTAGCACTGGAAGGCCAGGTTTAGCTCTGGCACTCTTGTTCCCTGCTGTTCTGATGTGGGTTTGATTTTCGCTGCCTCCTTCAGGGCATGAATGTCAGTTGCCTGCAATGTAATTTTTTGAATGTAGAGAGTAGCCTGGGCTTGTGAGCAGAGCCAGCTTGCCCTTTGTCGAGTGATTTGGAGGAGGACAGTGAAGTTGGTGTCCCTGGAGTGACACTCGGACCCTCATCACCCTATGTGTGGAGGTGATGTGCCCAGACGGAGGTAGGGCGGTGCCCTGCTGATCTCCTGGGCTGGGCACTGATTCTTTTCCCCTTGCTTCCTTTCTCAAGCAGTTCAGCAAAAGCTGTTGGAATTCCAGGTTAATGGAGGAAATCACTTTATACTAAACCCTTGGCCATCTGCTCACTTTCTAATTACAAACACTGTGGGTGTGAGCCGTGGCTCTGCCCTTAGGATGGGGTGATGAGAGCAGCTCCTTAGGCCTGTACCCTAGGTGAGGGGCAGCGTGCTCTGCAGTTGCCGTACACAGGGGCTGCGTGAGGAGCAGGGATGAAATGGACAGAGCTGCCTGCTGCAGGCTGTGTGGGAAGGTTTCCTGGGGCTGGATCCATGTGTGAAGGGCAACGCGCACGCCTGCACCCCAGTACTGCTCTCTGCAGGGACCTGCACGCAGAGTGCTTCCCGTGGGCCAGTGAAACACAGCTGGGGCCATGCGCTGGGCACCTTGTGCTCGAGGCAGGGTGGGAGGCAGCTGGCTGTCCCACAGCAGCCCTGACAGCATGCACTGCAGGAGGATGCTGCTAGCTCTGGGGAGAGTATCCCTGGGCTACCAGCATGCGATGTGGCCAGGCCTTCCCCAGCCTTCTACACCTCTGCCTGGCCCTTGCTCCCTGGTACTTGGCAGAGCTGGGCCGAGGATACCTTCGAGAGAAGGGCCTCCTGCCAGGTTTGCATTTGCAGCACTTTAGCTTGGCCCTCTTTCCAACAGACGGGCCTTGGGGCTCTGCTGCCAAAGCCACAGCTGCACCTGCATTATCTTGGACCACAGTGCTCCTGCACTACTTGAGTGCTAGGTGTTGGGAGTGGAGGCGAGGCTTTGGTGGCTGGGAGGAGTTGTCCCTTTAAACACTGGGTCCAGGGAAGGTAATCTGCCAGAGATTATCTGCTGGGGAGAGGATTGGCATTAAAGGGAATGTCTCCTCCCTTCCCCCATGTCCTACAGCATCCCCTGTCCTGTGTGTATGGAAACCAAGTTCACTTTCTCCTGGGCAAGCAGAGAGAGGGCCTTTGATTTGAGGGGCAAGGGGAGGAGGGCAGAGTGTGCGCTATGGGACTGGGCCTCCTCTTCCTTGCCGTGCTGGCCACGCTGGTCTCCTGCGAGGACCCAGAAGGTAACAGGGTGTTTGGGGGAAGAGGGGCTTACAGGGTGCCCCAGAGCTGCTGGCACCTGGCTGGACTGGTCTTCCCCAGCAGGGAGCAAGACCTTTGTCACATCCCTGTGCTGAGGCTTGGCACAGGGGAAGCGGGAGCTGGCTTGCAGAAGAGCTAGGGACCGCAAGTGAATGCATTCCTCACCACAGCAGGGGTTGTGGGGTGGAATGAGGGTGAGCCTTTGCTGGGCTTATACCACCTCCCTGCAGGTCTCTGAGGGCTGGGGAGCTGGCGGGAAGGGTGGTCCTTGGCCCCCTGCTCCAGCCTTGCTCTGCCTTGCTCCCTGCGGCACCAGGAGACCTGGATACTTACTGGTCTGGCACAGCGCCCATCTGCTTGGGGGGCTGCAAGGGGAAGCACAAGGAGCTGAAGAGGAGCCAGTGCGGGAATGGTAGCTGCTGTTGGCTGGGCTACAAGTCCTTCTGCCGAGGTACAGCCAGAGGGGGGAGATGGGGGGGGGGCCTGGGGATGGCTGCAGGGCTTGGCTCAGCCAGCCTGGGAAGGGCAGGTTTTGTGCCACACACACGTCTGTGGACTTTCTCCAGCAGCCAAGTCCTTGGGCCACAAGGGGACACAGCCTGGGGCACCTGCAGAGCCTGCCCAGCACCCTGGTCCTTGCCCAGGACCTGCAACTTTGTCCGGGTGCATCTCCTTGGGCTGCTGTTCTGCTGAGCAGGCTGCACAGGGTGCTAGCCCTGTGCTGCCCACGGGAACCTCCCTGTCCCCAGTGAACTGCGGGCGACCCGAAGCGGACTTCAACTCGGTGGTGTACGGCAACGACTGGTGGGTTG